ACAAGCATCTCGAGCTCTCCATTGAAACCAACAAGCTGGTAAAATAAAAAAAAATTGCCAAAATTTTCTCTTTTCTTCGCGATCTCAGAGGAGATTTTGTTGTTTGGGAGTAGGGCTGTGAAGTGCATGTAAATCCTGGAATTTTTATTTCGATTGAATTTGGATTAGGGCTTATCTGATTTCTATTAGTTCATGAATCTAAGCCGAGGTTGCTGATTTTGATCCGCTCAAAGCCGAGCTTATTTATCGGAGATTTGTATGAGTAAAAAATCTATATAAATTTTTAGCGATTTTGATTTTGTTGCCGAGTTGAAGCCTTGACAGAATTTACTTGTAATTTCTGATGGATTATTGCCCGATGCTTGTTTTGAAAGCTTTTCCCACTTCTTTACTCTTTTAGGGTAATGATTTGATTTTAATAAGCTTGCAAATTCTGGGCAAACAACACAATAAGTGTAGTTTTTTGGCACCCTTATGAGTATTTTGCCCTAAAATTTCGAATTTCTTAGGCATAGATTTGACTATTGTTATTTGCAATAATTATTCTGGTCATGCCATGGTAAGCCAGAAATCCCTTTTTCTATGATTTTGTTGATTGCAGAATTGAAGGAGTTAAACCTCTGTAAATTTGTATTTGCTTTGGTAAGTTTCAACAGTAAAGATCGTGACCATGCATGAAAATAGTTAATTTTGTAGAAGTGAGGTGCCATAATAGGAATGGTCTAATATAGCAATGAATAAATCAGTCTTGTCTCAATTAAAAGTTACCATAAGTAAGTTTTCATTAATTTTTGCAATTTAAAATTGCATATCCCATGCCAAGTTTTTGTTATGTTAATCCTTATGTTATTCATCTTCAAAAGAAAAAAAAAAGGTTTTTCATCCTCAAGAAATTTACATTTGTTTAAATTTTTTCTTACCACAAGGGACCATCCTATGTGAATTATGTTATTTGCAAATAGTAATATATGCAAAAAAACTCTATTTATTTTTTTATCCACAAAAAGACTGTTTTTCAAATGTACAAACCAAACAGCTAAACAACTTATCCAGATCAGGGGCAGAATGATCATTTATCATGCAAATAAGTTGTTTTTCAAACGCACAAATCAAACAGACAACCAACTTATCAGGATAAGTTGTTAATCAACAACTTATCAGGATAAATTGTTTATCTGATAAGTTGGATAAGCTGCAACTACCCCAAATAGACTCTTAGTTAGGATTACGTGGGGCTTAGTGGAGGACTAGCCGGTCCTCAGGAGATGGGAGGTTGTCGCCCGCCCCCTCCTTCCTCTCCTTTCCTTTTTCATACTTTCCTTTTCTTTCCTTTCCCTTCTTTTCTTAATTCCCTTCCTTGGCCTCTCCTATTATAAATCCTAATGTAATTTCATTTTCCTTATTTTAAAAATCCTTTTCTTAAAATTTGAGATTCTGATTATATTTTATTCCTCTTTCTTAATTTAAGTGTTTCCTAGAATTAGTTTAGCCACTTTATAAATAGAAGATGACATGCTTAGAGTTATGGGTCATTTTTGAACCCAAATTCAATATTGTCTTAGTATTTTCCCCTCTTGAGGGCAGTATCTGACGGCGAGGGAGGTGCTCTGGCTGTAACCTCATCCAAATTAGTGATTATCTCAACCTTTTGACTCCATCCTGAGCGTCGACGACCTGCAGCCCCGCCTGCCCACTTCTAGCTCCACCTGTCGCCCTCCTCCTGCACCTTCCCTGTAAGCCACACCCTTGTTGTTGCTCCTTCCAACGCTCCCTGCACTCCTGCCACCAGTCTTATTTCTCCTTCTAGACCACTGCACCTCCCTTGCCTCCTCCAGCCATCACAGGCAACGTACTCGCCAGCCAATCATCGCCGCACCTCCTCCCAGCCCTCCTATAGGTCGTCGCCCCTCTGCTTCCTCTGGTATTCACCAGCAGCCATTGCAAAGGCCGCTACACTCTCTCCCTGCTTCCAACAGGCCCTTGAGCTGCCCTGGTGCATCTCGCCCGGTACAGGCCTCCTTCCTGCAATCTAGCAACCTTGTTCTCCACTCCTTAGCCTCAACCGCCCATCTCCTTCCCTGCTCCCTGCCCCTGCCCCTGCAGGCATTGTGCCACCGCCCTACCCCAGCAAGGCACACCTTCCCCGCCCCTACAGGCATTGTGCTGCCACCATTCCCCAGCAGGCCACATCTTTTCCCTACCTCCTACAAGAAGTCATCTGTTGTCCCTTCAGTTCCAGCCTTCGATGACAATCCTGCGTCTTTGCAACTATAGTATGACGCCTTTACTATCACTGATTTGTAGTCCTACTTCTCCCACATTAGCCGACACCTATCCGATATTCACCACAGCCGTCAAACCAGCACCAGCTCGCCGGACTCCCTCCTCTTCAAGCTCGTTATGTCTTCTTTGTTGAGTCATTAATTGTAATCCTTTGTTTTCACTTTTGTTTTGTGTGTCTCTTTTGCAACCATGTTTTTAGTCAGTAATAAAACTGTGTCTTGTGTGATAGACTTACGGTCTCTTTCGAGTTGCAAAATAGTCAGAAATCAACGAGATCGTATAGAATTAGTTAGAAAGTCGTCGATTGATAGTTTGGAAGTTGTTGATCGTGATACAGTCGCAATAAGAGATACACGGCTCCGTGATTGTATATTGCGGCGTACAAAACATCAAACTCTCATCTTTTACGGCGCACAAAGACCCAACACTCCCATCTTTCTCCTCTTCTTGCTCCGTCCTTGCAATATAATCGCAAAAAGGACTAGCCGGGGCACAAACGACGGAATCACAGAGTACATGAGGCAGAATAACAACACACAGTGTTCTGCGGGGTTGCGACTCATTAAAGACCTAAAGGATCCGAGGATCGTAGTTCGGCTTGCCCTAGCTGTGATCCAAGAAGTAAAACGGTTTGGCTTGCCCCAACTACGATTGAGGGGCGATTTTCATTCATGAAAGGTGGATGTATGACTCTTGAAGAAATGATGAAGAAGATTTTCGAGTTTCAAGTAATTCTGAACTGTTAGAACGAGCGTTGGAACGAGCATCAGCAGGCAGAATAAAATGGTGTGCGATTTGGGGATGAAGAAGATCAGTTCAAAGAATTTCGACCTGGAATAAGGGAAGCACGATAAATGGGACATGGGCAAAGGACTAAGTCCAACTATGCCTTTTACTGCTATAGCCCTCCGGGCAGAGGAGGTTCAGGAGCCTATGCAGATAGACATACTATGGGACGAGCCAAAATTATGGAATGAGAGAATTCAATATGGGTCATGGAATGAAACCCAACATCTAGTTTATGGGTGTAATAAACTTCAGTCAAGAGAATTAGGGAGGAGACTCAAGCAAAAGGATGTTGAAGATGCCAATCTTTGAAGGGGAAGATGTGCATGGGTGGGTGTACCGGTTAAAGCCATAATTAGTTATGAATGGGCTAAATGGGGAGAATCTCATAATGACAGAGTAATGTTTGGAAGGGAAATCCCTAGCACGATTTAAGGGGAGGGAGGCTAGATACTCGATTTGCTCCTGGGATGAATTTAAAGTTTGTTTGTTGGAATGTTTATGACCATTCAAGAAGGAGACCTACACAAGCAGTTCTTTGCAAGGACTTAAGAAGCAACTGTTGTGGAATATAGGGAGAGACTCAAGCTATTGTTGGGGCCGCTGTGGGGAATTCTGAAGTAATATTGAAGGAAAACTTTATGAATGTTATAATGCCCAACATACGCTCAACACTTTGTCCAATGAGACTGTGAAACTTAAGAAAAACTATGGAATTAGTGCAGTTGGTTGAAAATTTTAATGCAATGGAGCGAGCTAATAGAAGCAACACAGGTGAAGCTTCATATCGAACTACTACAACCACGACGACTCCAAAAGCTCAAATAAAGGAAGTTCAGAGGAAGGTTTCATAAGACAAGAATCATGGGCCACAATTGAGGGTGACGATCAAACGACCCACAACGACAGAGATCCAGGAGAAGCGAACTAAGGGGTTATATTTTTGAAGCGATGACAAGTCAAACCTAGGACATTGTTGCAAAAATCGAACATTACTAGTTCTCACAATATGTGACGAGGAGGCGATGGATAAAGAAACAATGAAAGTTCTGGTGAAGGAGGTGGAATGCCTTCATTTTTTTTCCATATTGAGGACAATGTGCCTTTTTGGGAGTATTATTACGCAGGTACCTAAGGGACAATTTAGTCTTTTATTAGCCTAAAGGCAATTGAGTCTTTTATTATTTATTTTTGTTTAGTATAAATAGACCCTAAAAGTTTTAGAATTAGGTATGTAGAATATTATTGTCTTTAAGTCTTAGGTTTAGGGTTTATGAGAGATTTCCTACCTCTCGAATTGTAGCAATTGGGAGAAATCACCTAACTCTCGAATTTAAGGTGTTTGTCCTTTATTTTATGTGTTAGTAGTTGTATCGTTTGCTTTGGAGAAATGAAATATTTATTTTACCCTAATTTCTACTAAGAATCCTATCACAAGCCCTAACCAATTTGATAGCACAAACATATATGAGAAAGCAAGCAAAAAATTATACATTTATGTTTCTACTTGATAATCAACAACGAAAATTACCAAATTTAGAAGAAAAAAATAAAAAATTAAAACAAGTAATTAATCAAAACAACAGGAATTAATGCTGCAAAATTTAGTGGTACTCATTCCAAAAAAAATAGAAACTTTTGAGCGACAACATACTGTTTTCTCTACTATTCCGACATGATGGATGGAATAGCAACAAACACATATTAAGAATCCTATTACAAGCCCTAACCAATTTGATAGCACAAAAAAATATGAGAAAGCAAGCAAAAAATTATATATTTATGTTTCTACTTGATAATTAACAATGAAAATTACCAAATTGAGAAGAAAAAAAATAAAACAAATAATTAATCAAAACAACAGGAACTAATGCTGCAAAATTTAGCTGTACTCATTCCAAAAAAACAGAAACTTTTGAGCAACAACATACTGTTTTCTCTACAATTCCGACATGATGGATGGTGTTGAGGAGGTCCCCCTTGTCATATGGAACAAAAGCTTCCACTGGTACCATTGACTCCTGCTAAATAATAAATATTAATATTTAATAGGAGACAAACTTCATGTAGAAAGATAAATTAATCAAAGTAACCTAATGTACCCTCAATTTTGCTTGAACCGCATCACAGAATTCCTTCAACCCATCACCAATGGTGGCTGATATACTGATAATACCGCTCTTTTCTGCATCACGTTTTACTTTATGAGGATCATCAGTCTTGTCAACCTTCAAAAAAACAAAAAAAAACTAGAATGATGCTAGCTCGATCATGCAGCTTTACATATCTAGGTCAACAAAATGATAGATTGCTCTATAAGTGGAGATAAAATTGCAATTCCGCAAATTCATGAAAGAGCAGGTAAAAGCATTAGCTCTAATGTTGGACACAGCATATAGTAGATTTCCCAAACAATAAACTTTCATCTGAAAAAGGATTGTTTATGGATATTGTGCTTCAGTAAATTCACGAAAGGAACTGTATTAAAATTAATTTTGGTTAGCACACTTCTTAAAAAAACATTACTTTTTCATATAGAAGATAACTATTTCTGCTAGTGTTTTACATCCATTGCATGAGCCATTTTTTAAGCTACAGAAGTTTCTTTGAAGAGCTGTAGGCAGCAGTATCACTAAACAATTTATTAACATGAACTTTTTTTTTAAATGGATTAATTATGCTATAAAGATTCAATCGTTGGGTAAGAAATAAGTCAATAATATTCCAGTTGCGAGTTAACGGAATAAGACAAATAAATTTGATTTGTGGAAAAAATACGATGGACTATGAAAATTATTTTTTGAAAGAACCAATGTTTTTTAAAGCACGATTCACGAGCAAAATAAAACAAAGTGCCTGATGCCCGCTTCGCTTTGCCGAAGCGCGCTTTGAAGCGCTAAAATTAATTTGCAGGTTTTCTTTGCAATTTTTTATTTTTAAGTATCACTCGAAACTATTAGAAATTGTTCGAAATTTTAATTTGTAGATTCACTGTCAATATTTGCCATCAAGTTAGGTACTATATAACATTCTTCTCAATTTTTATAAACTATTAAGTTATATTTATAGTTTATAATTGTTAATAAATGCATTTATACATTAATAGTTTTATATAGCCTATTAACACTTAATAAAAGTACAGCTTCACTTTGCAGTTTGCAGTTTAAAGCAAAAATAAAGCCAACGCATTGTATTGAGCTTTGCGTTGTGCTTTCATAATATTGAAAAGAACACCATAATACCACCCATTCAAAACACCATAAAGAAAAAGTGATTTGGGCATGTATGACAAATATAGAAGATGCCTGATAAAATAAGTGAATAAAATTAAAACAAAAATAGGGATCAAAGTTTTTAAATAAATAAATAAAAGTCAAGATGAAGGTTAATGAAATAAGAGTAATAAGTTGAATGTGTGGCAATATTAGGAAGGACAAATCAAGAAATTGAAGCAGGAACTATCCCGTTTTCATGGTTCCCCGTGTTCCCCGATCCCAACCCTGCGAGATGAGCGGATTTCGGTTGGTGAAAATTACTGTTGCTTCTCCTGCCTGTTGTAACTGCCATCTCTCTGTGGGTCCCCATTTAATATTCTTTTAATTAATATTAGAGCTATTTCTAATGGGGAACAGTATATATGTTGTTATTTTTTAGATTTGTGGACTTTGACATGGTTTTATGTACATGAAGAATTGTTCTTTGATCATATGCCATCCAGAATATTGTACTTTCTTCCTTTTGCAAGTATTGTCTATTTAGCTTGCCTAAGAATAGGTGGTGGATCCCCCTCGGCAGTCGTGCCTTTTTGAAACTAGTGTTTTGTCGTTCTCACTACTGTTTTCAGTATAGACAGACATCAAACACACCATGTATCCTTCGAAACATTATTGAACTCCCATAGTCTCATTATCTTACTATTCCTCAACCACCTCCCAGCCGAATTGCTTCCCAAAAACCTAATAGGAATCCTAAAACAGTATATTTGGTATCAAAGCCTGACAAATCATAATTTTTTGGGATTTGTCTTCCTAGCCCCAAATCAAAATCCCAAATAACATAACATAATGCCCAAAAAAAAAAATATCCCCACACCATCCACCTAGCCCTAATCCTAAACCTCATTTTCTTCTTAGCCGAAATTTTAGTTGGAAGAACAAGATGCCATGCCACTAAGGAGAAACCCTCAACGAAGTGTTCCAGAGCTCACTATGGAGTAAATGCAACGAAAAATCCTCTGATTACAGTGGATGCTCCCTGATTTTAAAAGAAGGCAATATGAAGAGGTCACCTAAAGTCAAAACTGTGACTCACCGAATCGAGAGAAATGAATTCCATCCAAGAGATAATTTTCAATGATGAAGAATCACTACCTCAATGATTTGGCATATAGTATCAGAGAGTAAGTCAGGATTTTGAAGTAGAGATTAACTTGTCGGATTTTGATGAACATTTGGATCAAAATGAATTTATTGAGTGACTTCAAATAGTGGAGCAATTTTTTAGTACAAAGATATTCCCTAGTACAAAAAAAGTTAAAATTGACAGTCATCAAGCTCAACAAGAATATTTTCTTGCGGGTTGAGAACCAAAAGCGTCTTTGATAACAAGAAGGAAAGAGAAAAATCACCACATAGTCTAAGATGAAAAAGAAGATACTAAATAAATGCTTTCTCTCGCATGACTGATAAGACATGTTAATAAAACTCAGCAATCTGTGTTAGAGAGATTCTTTTGTGAAGTATACATTTGAATTTGGTCAACTCACTGAAATGTGACAGTGAGTTGGTCGAACCAAAGAAACACACAATAGCGAGCTATATTGGAGGTTTGAGATCATCTATCGATAATGTGGTGCAGTTGCAACTGTATTGATCCCTACTCGATGTACATACCCTAATTTTGAAAGAGAAGAAATAACGTCACTAGGTGACCGCCACACCTTACAGACAGAGTTTAATATCAAGATCAAGCAGCAAGAGTACACACATTGAGGCACCATAGCTAACCCCTCCCTGAGAAAAGATCAATTTAGAGTGGAGAAAAGGTAGAGACCGCCAACACTCCGAAATCCTTTCTAGCGAAGAAGTGTTTCAAGTATCACATTTTTTATCACATTGCGTCTGCTTGCCTAAATAGAATGGTATTCTCTTTCACAGAGCAGAGAACAGTTAAGAAAATGGTTAGTGACACTGGAGAGAATGACGATGACTAGCTTCCAGCCAATGAGGGAGAGATGCTAGTGATTCGAAGTGTCCTTTAGACAAAGCCCATCAGAGAGTAACAATGGTTTCATGAAATAAAGAGGGTCCAGTCACATTATAGATGGAGGCAGTTGTGAAAATATGGTATCTACACAAATGATGAACAAGTTGAGTCCCACTACCCAAAAACATTCTCAATAATATTTCCTGAATTTGTTAAAGTAGGTAAATAAAATCAATGTTGACAGAAGATGCCTTGTGAAATTTTCTATTAGAGAAAAGTTCAAAGAGCAAGTATGTTGTGGCATGATATGATATCGGAGTTAACCTAAATCACAACAGAAACACAGATATTAATTTTGAATTCCAAACATACAACAAACACGATACGAAAAAGCAGGAAATAAATGACAAACAAACATGGCAGCATAAACAAAAAAATATGTATGTGTGGGAAAACGAAGACGAGTGGGGATAAGGCGATGGGGGTGGCTGGAGCTGCAAAAATAGTAGATCCTTGTTGTTTTGGACAGTGGCAGCAAGGGTGACAATGGTAACGACGTCAAACCGCAGCTTGAGAGGTGCATGAAAGTCATCGGAGGCTGGATTGGCGGTTGCGGTGCAGGCCAGAGAGTTAGGACAACAATCGAGATGATAGATGAGAGATAAATATCTTGGCGAGGTCGAGCTACAGCTGGAGCACCACCCAGACCCGTGGACACGATCATCACCTGAAACAAGAGACAACCGGAGCACTACCTTGACATCAGATACAACCCTCTAGAAGGCAAATACTAAAACAAAACTGAATTCAGATTTCATAAAATAGAACACTAACTCAAAACGCATCCTTTCCTATTTATAAAGAGACATGACCTGTCTAAGGAAATACTGAAAATAAGAGAAGAATAAAAATCATATTTCAGATTTTAGGAAAGACTTTTAAAATAGAAATGAAGAATAAAAATTAGATTTCATATTTTATGAAAAGATTTAAATTAAAGGAGAATAAAATTAGGATTTAGGCTTTTAGAAAAGGATTTAAATTAGGAAAACGACTAGGAAGGAAAAAAGGAAGAGAAAGAAAGAAAAGGAATGGAGAAAAAGGGAAAGGAAAGGGGAGGAAGGAGGCAGTGGGACCTCCCTCCAAGAGAACCGACAGGTCCAGCTGGGCTAGACCTACGTCTAGCCGGTCAGCACCGTGTCAATCTCTCGAGGTTGGGGGAGCTTCGACCACACCTGTCGAATATTCTGGTTCTCATGGTACAACGGTAAGTCCTCTGATAAGTCGATCATGTCAGTGTTGTCATTCCACAACACATTCTAGTAGAATAGTTAGTCATCCTCTTTTTGCACATTCTGAGCTTGAGCTGCATATAGAGGTGGATTCCCGCAATGCAACTCTCAAGCCTTTCCACTTGGAATCTTCTCCTTCCACTTCTCATGATCAACTGAGTGCAACTGAGGAACTAGTATAGGAGGAGGAATCAATTCAGGGGTGAAATTTGTGGCAGGCTGCATCCTTCTCACTAGCACGTCCTGAGTGAGAGCTGCATATAGAGGTGGGCTCCCGCAATGCAACTCTCGAGTCCTTCCACTTGAAATCTTCTTCAACTTCTCGTGATCGACTAAGTGCAATTGAGGAACTGGTATGGGAGGAGAGATCAATTCAGGGGTAAAATTTATTGCAGGTTGCACCCCCCCTTAGAAGAGCCATATTCATCACTGATCAGACCTGAACCCCATCGAAGAATTTTTGTCTTCATCAAGCTCCTCGGGCCCACTACAAAGTTGGGGTTTATCTCTCCCGTCTGAACATCTGACAAGGTGTACCTAAAAGTAACCTATGAATATCTCTATGTAATATTCTCGACATGGCGCACAATGACCTCATTTCTAACATGTTAAACCTCCCTCCGTCAAGGCAACTCAAGAGGGGGGCTATAAATCTGAAAAATTTGCATCTTGCTTAGCTGGGGTGGACCTATATTTGTTGTCATCTCCTTAAACTCAGTGTTGTGATATAT